TGCCCTCCACCGTTGCCTCTTTTGCCCCTTCGCCACTGGAGCCCCCGAGCTCATGGCCTTGCACCTGCAAGTGCACCACAGTCGCCGGGCTCGGGGCCGCCGGCTTCCCCAGGCTGATGTGTCGCTGCCCTATGTCCGAGCACCATCAGGAGAGACCCCTCCCAGTCCTCCTCTGCAGGAAGGGGAGGAGGGCCCCGGGCTGTTGAGATCCGGAGAGGTGGGGTTGGGGGGGCAAGAACGGTAGGAAGCCCTCTTAGGGGCTGTTAGTTTAGTGAGCTTACCCTGCAGGAGCGGGGGAGCACTAGAGGTAGTTGGGTAGAGCAGCCAGCAGGGGGGCAGTGTGGGACCCATATCCCAGCCCCAGGTGGACCAGAGGTAAAGGGTATGGAGGGCATAGGGGGGTGGGTGGGCGGTATGCACCCAGCCCAGGGGAGTCACAGTGCCTTAGAAGTGGCAGGGGTGAGGATCAAAGAATGGGTTCCCAGGGCTGGCAGAGAGGATTGTGCCCCTGTTGAGGAGATGCTCTGCCAGTCCTTGCTGGTCCATAGGCATGAGAGTTTATTTTTGTACAATGGGTGGGGGTGGGGGGCACTGTACCCTTCTAAGCCCCTTCAGGGGTCCTGTAGACGTCGCTATTTTTGGTACGATTCCTGTCATCCCTGTCGCAGAGTTGTGTCCCCAATAAACAGGTGTCTTGAGGCACAGGGACACTGCGTCTGTCTGCCTATGTCCTGTCCTCCTTGGGCCTTTCTGTCCAGGAAAGAGGCACCTCTTTAGGCACTTAGTTATCACCTAAAGAGCTTGGGTTTTACCCCCAGGCTTTGGCTTCAGCAGTTCCGCTGTGGGCCCAGGAATTGGCATTTAGCAAGTGGCCTAGGGGATTCTCATGCATTGTGGTCTGAGGACCTCTCATTTTCAAATGTGCTGAATCCCATCTTAACCGTGACTAGCTTTGCCTCAAGACGTGGGTGTACTGTGAGAGGAGGAACTTCAAAGGGTGCATTGAGTCTCTGGGAACCACTGTGGAGAAGGTACATTCTCTTAGGCCCGGCCCACACTGAGCTTTGGTCGAGGGGAAGTGTTCAAGTTAGTATTATCACCTCAACCCAGAGGACGGCTTCTAGCTCTTTGGACACAAAGTGTGAGTAAATACATTTAATATAACAATAGGATTATAATAACAGTAATTACACATATAAAGTTTGCAGTTTCCCACACCACCCTCATATATTGGTTTGCATAGCTCCATTTCCTATGACCCCCCAGAATGGAGTCACTAGGAATTATGGGTAACCTGGCAGGGATGGGTCTTCTCAGGGAGAGTCGGGGTGGGAAGAAGGGGAAACACTGGTCACCCGGGGAGCCTGGCACGGGGCTGTGCCCTGGGAGTGAGCAGTGGCCCAGGATGGGGAAGGACTGGGCCAGGGATAATTCCCCACCTCCTGGGTATGAAGGCAAGCAAGTATGGCTACTTTGGTTCCTGAAGGAAGGCACCCAGTTGGGGAGAGCAACAGAGATAGTGGTAGCAGGGAAACACGCTGGTCCTCTGACCTCTCTGTCCAGGAAGCAGAGGGAAGGAAGCCAGTGCTCTTCCAGTCCTTCACTATGTCCCACTGCCAGCCCAGCCCAAAATGTGCTGAGAGGAGGGGCTGTAGCCAAGTTCTGGATTTTCTCTAGAAACCAGGAGAGAAGAGGGAGATGGGTTGGGAGAGGGAAGAGGCTGACTCCTAAGCAGTTGGGGGGGAGGAAGGATGGTACATGCAAGAGGGAAGGAGTGTGGAGGTGGTAGAAAGGGGGTACTGACTCACCCAGGTCACAGAGGTGTGGTGGGGTCACTCAAGGCTCGGGCATGACTCTTAGGGGAGAGAAACTGCAGTGAATTAAAAGGAGAAGAAATGACCTCTTCCCTGTATTCCATCTCTCTCTCACACACATCCCTGTCAATTCACCTTTTTCCTCCCAGATTTAATCCAAGTCCAAACCAGGTTGTTGGCATTCTCCCCTTACCACCCACTCCTGCAGTGTGCTCTTTATTAAAGATTCCTTTTCACTTCTGACCTCAATGCCTCTCAGCCAGGGGTGGGGGAGAGGACAAAGGCAGACTGTATCCAGCCTGTAGCCTGCTGGCAGCACAGGCTCACTGGTTCCCCTGCCCTCATGGGTTGAAAGATTAGAAGAGCCCACCCAAAAAGTGGCTGAAGAGGTCACCCATTCCTAGCTCTATTGCAGGGACTTACCTGCCGGGATAGCCCTAAGATCCCTCCAGTGGCCAGAGTGGGAGTGCTGCTCCTAGGGTGGGGGCGTTGCAGGCTGGGGCTGCTTCTTGGTCCTGGGGACGCATCTCCGGAAGAGTCAAGTGTTTCTGGGGCTAGAGGGGAAGCTAGGGTGAGAGCAGGGTATAGAACTCCTAGATTACCTTAAGCAACCAAGCTGCTCCATCAGGGAAGAAAAAGCTCTATAGCAACAGGAAGCTGTGAGTCACCATAGCAATCCACTTGCAAGAGAACCCCCCCTACCAAGAGGCAGGAAATTGTCAGCAGCGTCATTAGAGCAACCAGGGAAGAAGCGACAGGAAACTATAAGGATTGCCATGGTGAACCAGGAGGGTACAACAGGAAGCTGAGGCAGTTTCCATAGAAACCCAAGGAGAGCTAGAGAGAGGTACAGAGGAAGTGCTTCATAGCAACAGGCTGCTGTAGTAGTACCCTAGCAACCAGATGGAAGGCTCTTTTAGCAGTGGGGAAGCTGTAAATAGTTGTCATGGCAATGGGGCTACTTGGCTGGAAAAAGGAATTGCTCAGCAGCAAGCAGCCTGAACATCACAATGATGACCCAGCTGTTGGGGGGAGCCACCCCTTGAGAGGTGCCTCACCCAGGGAAATTTGCTTGACGTCCAGATCCCAGGCCTCCTCCTCGACGCGGGCAGGCAGGGAGCAGGCTCCCGGTGAGAGGCCCGGAAGGGAGGGGCCGGCATGCTCAAAGGATGACACGGCCACAGAGGCCCGAGTCCTGGCGGCTGCAGAGAGTGGGGGTGGGGGAGGGGTGGGGTGCTGGTGTGGGAAAGCCCTCCTGGCTCCCTGAAATGACCCTAAATTTCACAGAGGGCTTCCCAATCAGTTCCACAATTTCTGGGAAGACATCCGCTCGTTACCCTTCCTCAGTTTGTACCATGCTTCCCCAACTGTGCCTTCACTGTCAAGGTCTTGACTCTGGCGGCCACCCCCCAGCATTGTGGCCCTCACCTCTTCCAGTGAGCAGGGCACTCAGCGTCCGCTCCCCGAGGGCCTTGATGTCCAGAAAAGGCTTATTCCCAATGCCCATCGAGACCATCTGCTGCACTCGGAGCTCTAGGGAACAGAGACCCTGTTACCAACCTCCTTTGCCCCTTCTCTGCTCCAGCCTTAGCCCTGTTATGGTTGACTCTTCTTTGTTCCTTGCCAACTCTTATTCCTCCCTCTCATTCCTCTGGTGTCTCTTGTCACTCTTCCGGGTGACTGTCCCGACATGGATGGAGATGGTGTCCTCAACTTCCTCCTCAAACACCTGTCTCTTTTCTCCTGTAGTTTCATCCTCCCCATTGACCATTCTAGCTGCCCAACTTTTCTTCGGATACTCCCGTTTTTCCTTTTATCTTGGGTGTTAAGAGCAAAACTCACATTTTTACATACCTTTACAGTTTACCAGTGCTTCCATATATATCACCTTATTTAATATTCCCCATCACACTGAGCTGTAGATATTACTTTCCATTTTTTTCATATGAGTGGAATGAGGTTCAGAGAATTTAAAAAAGCACAAAAAGCAGATGCAGGACCAAAACAAACGAGCTCAGATCACACAGCAAGTAAGTCTGGGACCCAGGTCCAGTGCATACTTTCTCTCTTTTGCTCAGCCATTTGCTCTTGCTTCCCTGAAGTTTGCTGGGTTCCTCTTTCCTTTTGGTTCACCTTAGGCTAATTTGTATCTCAGCTTCCTTTCTCAAACCATATCTTAAATATTCTCATAAGTCATTCTTCTTTCTCCATCCTACACCCTGTTTTCCCAAGTGGTCTCCACACTTTCCAGCTAACCTTCCATAATCTTGACCCTAAGCACACCCTTCCCATCTCTGCCTGTTACCCTTGTTATGGGCCGCCTGTCTCCACAGCAGCTGAGCGATAGAACTTGTCCACTTGAGTTTGATCTCCGGTGAAGCTGCCTGCAGAGTGTATGCCTCTCTTGCCCGCCGCCGTCGAAACCACAGCTCAAAGCAGAGCCCGCTGTCCCCGATGTTTTCTGTTAGCCCCATGTCAGCAGTCTGAGAAAGAGCGGAAAAGAGTGGGTAAGGATGGAGTGAGTCCTGGCTAGATAGTACCACATGGGAAAGCATTACACTTAGCGTGGCATGTGGTGGATGTTCAGTAAATGTTTGCTCAACACCTACCATGGGCCAAGTGCTCTACATTTAGTCTCCATAGCAACCATAATTTATAGAAGGGGAATGCCCAGAGACATGAAACAACTTGCCCAAGGGTTTATCATAGCTTAGTAGAGAAGGAAGGTTCAAACTCATGTCTATGTTATTCCAAACCTAGGCTTTTTTCCCCCTCTGTACTGTACTCCCCCACCCCACCCCCAAAGAGCTGGAACTAGTGTATGGGGACAAAGTCTAGAAGCCCTTAGAATCATGCCACAGAGCCACAGGTTGCCACTGATGTTTATCTGGACAGCAGAGCTGTTTCCTTAAGGTAAGGCCTCCCTCCCTTTGGCTTCTTCAGTTCCATCATGTTAAGCTATATATGCATGTCCTTCCTCCTCATCCCCAGGGACCATTCCTGACTCAAAAGGCATGTGTGTTCTTAATGGGAAGGGTCCTCCTTCTTTCTGGCTTGGAATGCCCCATGGGCCTCCTGCATAAATGAGAAGGAAAACCCCAAGGAGGAGACTGATGACGGACTTCTATCACCCCGATACCCTAACTGATGGTTGGTTGCAGGCCAAAGCCTGTTCTAGATGATGCAGATTCTGAACCTGGGTTGGGGTTGAATTTACAGAACATCCCGAGTTCTCAAGAAGAGCATGGCTTCCTGACCCATTCCTTGCCACCCCTCCTTCCCGCAGGCATTGTACCTTAAAGGCCTGCTTGTAAACAAAGGTCTCAGAGCCCCCCTCAGAGCCCTTGAGCTTGCTGAACAGGAGGAGATGCTCAAAGAGAAAGACATGGCGAAGGCACTTCTTTCGGCCACAGATGACGGTGAAGGGGTCCCGGTGCAGGAGCTGTCCCTGTTCCTTCAGGTCTGTCTGGAGAAAGGAAAAGGAAAGGTTATTGGCCCTGGAACCCTTTGTATATGTTTTACGGGGAGTAAAAATGGGATTTATAGGGCAAGGGCCTAATGACTAATTCTCAGACAGAGTTGGAATCAGGGCAGCACTTGGCCTAGAATCCTCCTACTGGTCACTGTGCACAGCACACCTGGCCTAGCAGCACAGCTTGCCTCTAAAGATGGAAGGCACATTGCACAGTAGGGTTTACAGCCTCTCATGAGGAAGCCTTTGAATGTTGGGGACCAAAGCACCATTTTGCCCCAGGAAGAGAATCAACAAAGACCTGATGGGGAAAGAAATCTGCCCCAGAGGAGGTAGGTTTTCAGCCTGTATTGAATCTCAGGGCTGGAAAGAGATTAGGTAGAGGAGAATAAGATATGTGTTGAGTGTTGAGATGCAGGAAG